AAACTGAACGCATATTAGGTTTTTTTAAAAATTGTAATTGTATCCCACTACGTTGTCTCACTTTGTCCTCAGGGCGGGACAAAATGGGAAATTGTGTGACTTTCAGATATTGTCGTTTTGTTTAATGTTTCGTTTGCTCCAGTTAAGAAATATTAACTGAGCATACAGTGAAAACATCTGAGGATATCCCGATGCTGTGTTTTTTTAAAATATTGAAGCAAAAGTAAAAATAACCAATCAACTTTAAACTTTTTATCTCCTTTTGTACCACCTTTCCCTACGTATAAAAACCAACGATGAAGACACACGTTTTGTTTTCCTAACAGCGCTTGAAATTGAGTTTTGACTCGTATTCTTACAAATACAAACGGTAAGTAAATATGCACTAATATCTCAGGAACACGGGAATTAAAAATGGAATCACCAAGCCAGCGCGCGCCATGCATGACGATCAGAGCACCAGAGCCACGATCGCGAGCTGAATCTCCAATTGCCGAACTGCCATTTGGCTAAATAAAAGTTGAAATGCCGGCTGACAGTAGTATTAAGGGCGAGACACATGCAATACAGAAGGACTGGCTCGTCGTAAATTCTGAGATTGCGAGCGAGCCCATCACTCAACTGGAAGTTCGGAGGCCATGTACCCGCATAATTCAACGTGTTGGATTCGTACGACGCGTCGGCCGTTGTTTCGCCATGCATGTTTCTGGCACATTAATCTCCGACACGGCCCTGCCTCATAACCATGTCACTTGATTAACCTCTTGATCGGTTCTACAGAAAGCTGGTCATGGAAAAATATCTTAGTTGGATTGATCGATACGAAATAATCAAAATGCTATTACATAATTTTAAGTATGGCGTTATGGTTTTGATGAACGCTGTCTCGCCTGTTTTCACGAGAGCAAGCACAGGCGATTGCAAGTTCGCCAAATTTTCTTTTGCGTGCAACGAGGAGGCCTTGCTTGTAGCCTCATTGAAATGGCGACTCCGCTCATTTTTCTAAACTTTGGGCTTTACGACTGTATTTAACGCAGTCAGCATTCCTGAATTATGGGATATCATGTTTGAGGTACTGTGTGTAGTTCTGTAGATATCTGGTGTCAAGCCTTTGTTTCGGGGATGCACTACGAAACCTACACTGCGGGTCGAGAGCAGCGGTAACACTGGCAACTCCTGGCGGTCCACATTAGAAGCTGCCACTGCCGACGACTTGGACTAAAATGACTGAATAATGATGTAAATTATTTCTCTCTCTCTCTCTCTTTTTTTTTCTTTCTCTTTGATAATTAGCTGTGGCGACGATGGCCACGTCACTTCCGTAATACAGTTCCCATGATTGGCTGAGTCACATGAGCAACTTCCGCTCGATTTCTCTGCTCCCAAAATCGAACGATCGCGCAGGGGTGCACCTAAGAAGCAGCTCCAGTTGTCACCTCCGATCGCAGAAAAAAAGCACGAGCTGCACGCAAATGACGAATCTTTGTCCAGTTTTGCTGTATGGTGATAGCAGACATGCACGGCATAAATGAAAGAGGCTTTCTCATTTCAACACAACTCAATAGCAGCTAACCTATCGGCACCCCTTTTAGCTGCTGGTAGCATTTTAACATCGGATTTAGTATAAATCCCGGCGTTTTTTTTTGTTATTGTGGTTAGAATTCTATTCTATTCTATCGAATTGCCAGCGGTAGAATTGCCGTAACATCAACCGAGACTTTGTCTTTATATATATATATTATTTTTTTCGGACAAGGCGAACGTAATCGTATAAACATAGTGCACCAAACGGCTATTTATGTTACAACATAACGTTACGACATAATATAACATAAAAATGAAAAAAAAAGGGGGTGAAAAACGCCAACGAGGATAAAAATAATAATGAGCAAGATGTAAAAAAAAATTGTCTCGCATTTTTATTTTTCTTGTTTTAGGGTCTAATTTCTGATAGGTACTGCGGTGTTTTTATTATGCCTAGTCATCGTAGTCGGTGTAGAACCGCGTTCACTTCTTTTGGAAGCCCACATGAAACGAAAAATGCATATTGGGATTCCAGGGAACTTATAAATGATGGTGTCCCTGGTGGTTAATTGTTTTCTTCACAGCATTAACCATAGAGAATTCGCCTCGCATGTGGAGCAACGTGGACACACTTCAAATGGCACTACTCGTTGACTTTTTTTTCGCACTGCCAGCTGCCTCTTTTCCTGATATACTACACTGACCTGATTTTCATTGAAAGCTATATAATAATAATTAATAATAATAATAATAATAATAATAATAATAATAATAATAATAATAATAATAATAATAATAATAATAATAATAATAATAATAATAATAATAATAATAATAATAATAATCTTTATTTCCCATTACATGTAATGGTGGAGTTGAGAAGAAAAGCTGCGCTAGATGGCTTGACAAGCTCTCAACCCCAGGAAATTCCGCAGCAGTTAGGAATCAAAAATAATAATGAAAAACATACAAACTAAAATGACATATGGTGATAACTCTGTTGGGGGATTCGTGGCAGAAGAGGTATATATGTGATACGTCAGTAGATGGTACGCGTTATGTGTCATGAAAGGCTGTATTACCTACGGGCCTCGTCTTGAATCAAAGAAAACTGACTAGTGTTTCGGTAACCGAGGCATGGAGTACCGTAGTGTTCTTCAGATGGCCGCTGATTTAGATGCAGTTGGCTTGGTGTTCTGTCTTATCTTCAATATTGAAAGACTGGCTGTGGCGGGGGTCGCTGCACCAGCTCCAAATTGTAAAAAAAAAAATGTTTTTTTTTTTTTAGAAGCGTTTTTACGCCGTATGTTTCTTTACCGATTTTTAATTCCAGTTACCGGAGGATGGGGGACGGAGCCGATCCCTTACGGATGTCCGTTCAGCATCCATCGTCACTTACGGAGTCTAGAAAGTTCATAGTGGTACATTATTGGTCTTTGGGCAAATGAAACCGGCCAGGGCATCGTAGTGCACGCTACCTACAAACAGACCGAAGTCCACCTTCTATCTAAATGATTCATCTGGATTGTATCTTGTATACTCAATGGCGGTTTAATAAATCAAGGTGGCACCTAGAGTCGTGCACCAAGTTTCCCCGAGCACAGAGTTTCAAAACTGCTTATGGATCCATCTGAAAAAATTACGTCCTTTTTCTTAAAAATCCTAACGCAGAAATCGGACGGAATACCCAACACGGCGAAACATCCACCCCTAAAAGTGCAAAAAAAAACAAAAAAACTTAAAAGTGAAGGAAAATTCCGAAATACTGTGCGCTTGATTTGGTAATTGGCAGGAGTTATCCTTGAAGTTCAACGAATGACCAACATGTGGCAGCATGTTGCTTCAACACAGAAGAAGGAAGCAGCGTCAGGGCAAAGATGGCCGCCCCATTGTCAAAATGCACTGCGTTAGAGCAGCGATCTGTGATGCGTTTTTTGAGTAGTGAAAGTGTTAAACCACCTGAAATTCATCGCAGTATGAAAGCGCAGTACGGTGATCCGTGTGTGTCTCTACAACAAGTGTACGAGTGAGCCGGAAAGTTTAGAAGCGGCGTAACTTCTGGGGAGGACGCCCCACGATCGGGCGAGGCACGCCGCGTATTGACGAACGAAAACATCGCCGCAGCGGAAGCGCTTGTGGAGGAAAACAGACGTATTACTATGGAGGAAAGAGCCACTATTTTGAATATCACTATTGGTTCAGCACACAGTATATCCATGGTGGCTCAAAGAAGCTATGGGAGGCAAGCATTTCAGAGGCGATGAAGAGGTGAAAACCGCGATGTACGAGTGGCTACAGTAACAGCAAAAATAAATTTTCTCACAAGGTATCCTTGCACTTACGAAGCGGTGGAACACGTGCATTGCACGTCATGAGGACTACTAGGTCGAAAAGAATATACGTATAATTTTTGTATATTTTCTCGTTTGCCTTTTAATAAATAATTAAGGTTTTCATTTGAATCACCCTCGTTTAACCACATACAGCTGCTTTAAAGTGAACCCAACCACGGCTTCCCGATAGGTGGCACCAGTGTGCTCTCTTGTTGTAAGATATTTTAAAAGGTTTCAAGGCACACGGTCCTAAGAAGTCGCAAGTGTGTGAACGAAGTATTTTTAGCTCTACCAGAAGAGGGCTTAATTTTGAAATCCTTAAATGCAGGTTAGTGTCAATCAAGAATGGGACAAAAATACCTGCTCCTGTGCCCTGCCTAATATTGAGTGGGCTTTTTCCGCTAAGTGAAAGATAACGTGCATGTACGTAGGTTTGTCCTAGAAAAGAAGTTTCACATTTCCTCGCATGTATTCCTAATTGGACAGTTTCTGAGGCCACTGATGAACTAATTGCTAAATTAACTCTCGATCGTGACATCTACGCATTTCTCAGAAAGAAATGAACGGAATATTGCTACGCGGAGCTCAATAACGGAATAAATGATTATATTACTTAATTTTAATGGGCCAATAAAAGAACGCGTTACTTCTGAGTGCGCCGCGTGGAAGATATTTCCTCGGTCACACCTCGTTCGTTTTATGAGTTCTAACCCTTACGCATATCAAACTGCGCATACCTAGCGATAAGCGCGTCACGATTTACATACTTCCCGCAAGTCCATCCCTGTCTATCCGTTTGGCGTTGAGCCATGATACACCCGCATGACCGCATCAGGAGGCAGAGGGCGTGTAATCCTATACACTTTCCTCAAAACAATGCCTAGTCGCTTAAAGTACCAAAATCACGTTATTGGTTTATTTTTTTTTTCGGAAGAAAACAAAGAAACAAATGCGTTGTTACCAAAAGTAATCAATATGCTACCGGTGGCACGGAACTGTAACACGTCTAATCCACAACGCTGCATGCGGCATTTCAACCCACGTTATCCCGAACGACGAGAAAGTAATCGACCAAGCTACGCACTAAGAGGGACCCCATTTCTAAAGCGTTCCCCGCACCGCCAGTCATCCCTGCCCACTCACCCGCTCCGAAAAATCGCGGGGCACCGGCGTCAGTGCAGTATCCAGGGGCTCCGCTGTACTGAGCGGACAAGAAGCGAATGACGACACATGGAAAGAGCCGGCGCGTTTGCGCTTCCTGGACTTTATTAGTTGGCTCGGCCGAACGCTTGTTCGTCAAATTTCACCCTTGGCTTGTGACTTAGCGCGACAGCAACTCATTTTCCGAGAATCGCTTATCGGAAGCCTTGCTCCACTTTGCACAGTGCAAGTGTTCTTATCGCCGGAGCTCGCTGCAGCAGTTACCGCGAGCGGCTAACACGGCACAGCGTTTTGCATACCGAAGTCTAACCGACCTCCCCCGACGAGACGTCGCGGAATGTTGCTGCTGGGACACACTTCCTGCCCTTGGCGGCAATGGTTTTCTTCGTTTTTTTTTCAATACAAAAAAAAAAAAAAAGTCATGAAGGGCATTATCATATCAAATAAATGTTTCGTAATTTACTTAAGAAAAAAAAAAAAGAGCTCATAGGGCATAGGGCTTCATTTATTTTGGGTCATACCATCCCCACAATACAGCTTACTTGTTATTTACTTCTAATTTCTGTTTTATCAGTATGTCTCGCATTGATTCACGTGCATACGTGGACTGAAAGAGACCTGATGTAACTATACTCCGTTTCACGGTAACTTTGCGAACTGTGGAGGCTACGGCCCCTGCGTCCCAATAAGAGCGTCAGAGCGAGTCACGTGACACCACGGCATGGGAGCGTTTGTGTCCCTGCGCCAAATGCGAGACCCGAAGGAACCGGCTGTCGTCTGCTGGTGAAGAGTCGTCTGCTGCGAAACCAACCAACTTCGGATGAACGTCCACCGCCGCAACATTGCTGTCCGCTAGAGTAGCGAGCTCTCCGGGCAAAGTTCATGAGACATCCATACGCTCAACTTACCCGCGAATCTGTGGTGGGTGCTAATGTCAGGACGATGTCTTGAGCGGAAGCGGTCGATTACATGGCTGCGATAGTTCAAACATCGTTCACAAGCAACGTAGTTCACGGAAAACGGTTGATCCGAATGAAGTGTCGTTGAAAAGCAACAGGTATTCGTCTTTCTTCCGTGTCGTGTAGCGAAGTGTCTATGCGGAGCTCAAGTCCGCCTGCTCCTTCACTCGGAAAAAAGTCTGTGCATCTACTTTCACGCACCAACACTCGGAGAGCCAATCAGCGCAACTTACGGAGGCAGCTCAGCGAATGACGATCCCGAAACATATGTTTAGACCAAAAAACGCAGTCTGAGTTGTGCAATTAAGCAATGCAAGCGTGACGTTTTGCATTGCTTAATGTCACAACTCAGTCTGCGGTTTTTTGTCTAAGCATATGTTTCGGGATCGTCATTCGCTGAGCTGCCTCCGTAAGTTGCGCTGATTGGTTCTCCGAGTGTTGTGCGTGAAAGTAGACGCAGAGACTTTTTTTAGAGTGTTGAGCAGGGGTTGGCGGTGACGTTAGAAGCCGAGCTGTAATTGGCTCTGAATGAAGGATAGTGGGTAGACCTTAAAGCAAGCAGCCTCGAGGTCTACCCACTATCCTTCATTCAGAGCCAACCGGAGCTCGGCGTTCTTGACGTCACTACAACCCCTGCAAAAGAGGCGGACGAATTTGCGCTCCGCATAAAGGTGCAGTCGCGCGAGTTCAGTTGCCGAAAAAAAGAAGCCTGGAGCTACTTTTTGTCGCGGACGGCGCTGTTGCTGTGGCGGTAACGAGGCCTCCATGTCATCGACCATGGATTTTTTTTCACGTGCCTTACTCCCACGCCCTTATTGAGTGGCGGGGGCCGCAGTCTCCGCAGTTTGCCAAGTTATCGTGAAACGGAGTAAAACTTTGAAGGCTATAGTCGTGGCTTAACACTGTTATTAAGCAGATCACGACGAACAATAAAAAAAGGTTGTGGTTCGGCGAACGTATTACAAAAGAACAAAAAAACAGACTAACTTTGGTTTGGCCACCAGCCTTCCAGATTTGGTGACCAGTACGGTCTACGAATAATAGCAGTGGATGATGACGTGGCAACTATGGTATGCGATCAAGTTTTCGGGACTATAGACGCGTGTTTCCAAATCATATGAAATCATATGATCCGTCCGAGCGACGTCGAAACCAGTCTCAAAAATGTCTTTCTCTCCCCCTCTCTCTCTGGGAAATGGAAATCGGGCAATCAAGTATTGCCAGACTTGTAGAGATAATGCAGCAGCTCACTCCGAATTATTACGACCTTCACTATGTATAATATAAACTATTGAATTACGTTTCTTATATACTTTCGAGCGCAACAGGAAAACTGAAGCGACATTTGGAACCCATTGGTTCCAAATATTTAATATAAAGGTCACAAAAAAGGCCGGGAAAATATTTTCATATCGTAGAAGTATACAAAAAGTACGGGGCGTAAAATTCCCCAAAACGCTGCGTATTTGAGACATCTTATGAGATGGCCTGGACAAACGTTTGCAAAAACTACGGGACACTACCATTTGGTAGAAAATGAAATATAGAGATTTTACGTCTCAAAGCACATAGAGCTTGAGCGACGCCTCAAATACTCCTTGGGGAAAGGAGCACCCAGGGTTAGAACACTATATGTACCTCGTCGAGTGATGCGCAGGCAGTCTTGTTTACAAATAGGTGTCTGGGGCGACCGGCGCAGAGGCTAACCAACACAAATGTAATTTGGCTAAAAGAAAAGTGGAAGCATGTCTAACTCCTTATACAGCCTGGACAAGAGCAGGCTCTCGAGATTTACGCGAGCGAAGAGAGTTGACTGTCTTCGGGAAAGCTGACATCAGCCGAACGGGCGTTGTCTCTTGCACGGTTCTCTCGTGCGCGGTGACGGAATTTGACGAGCGACGAAAGATGCCGTTTCATACATCGTCGCAGCTGATAGGTTCGGAATGGGGTGTACGGGTCGGACAGAGAGATATTGATACTGACACAGCAGTGCTCGAATGGCGCGCATCAGCGAAAACTTCCAGGCAGTCGATATAGCTGTTTGCAAACTTAATGTGTCGCCAGTAAAGATTAGCTGAGACAATAATATGAAATGTAAGCGTATTTCATCAGTCTAGGGTAAAGGTAGTGATAACGATGATAATGTTCGAAACAGAAACTAAATGAAACCGATTATAAGAGCTGGGACACTCTGGTGAGGCATCTTTTAGAGCTCAACAAATTAGTATAATTAGTACAATATAGTATAAATATTCGCTTGCGTAAACCTTTCTGTTGGAAATTAAATAATTCCGAACAGAAAGGTCTGGGGCCAAGACCCCCGAACCACTCATTTGGTGCGTGGCGAAGCTCCGAGTTGTACGCGCCTGAGATACGGATGCGGCAGGCATAGTGAAAACCGCACAAGAATCCCTGACTAAAGAAAATCGTATAGCGCGAAAATAAAACGCAGAGTATTCTGAGTAGAGGTTACGTTTCCGGGATAGGATGGTCAGAAATGGGAAATAATATCCCAGAAATATTGTCGGACGCAGCTCGCTTGAGGTCGAAGAGCTGTCGCCTGTGGCGCGAGAAATTGATGTGGTAGTCAAATCCCGTCCTCTGAGATTTCTCTACGCAGCCTAAGGAGAGTCGAGAGTTTTAAAGGCAACTCATCATGTACTCCACAAACTATTGAAAACATTACCATAAGAGTTCTTTTTTGAAAATTGATTCCGATACTTTATTTGTGAGAGGAAAAAACTCTGAAGGTCAAACCTATTTGATGGTGTTGACGTCGATTCCATCGTTTGTGAAGATCATGAACGTTTGGTTCAGGATATTCAAGGATATCTTGATATGTATGCAACATTCCGTTTTGTTAATGAGCTATTCGACATTTATTAAACAAATGTCTTTGTGATACTTGTTGCATTTTGACTACGAAGTAAAAGTTCTTCCAAAATAAAGAAACGACTGTAAGTTGACAGCTACCCGAGGTGCTCCCATCGTCTAGGGTAGAGGGATCACTATGAACTCATACTGGCACTAGCAGCCTGCAATTCCAGCTTTCGCATTATTGAAGGCGGAAAGCGAAGTACAGTTGTACTTCGTTTTGTCTGAAAGTAGTACCTGAGGAAAGGTTGTGGCGCAAACGCCTTACTTGAAATGTGTCTGAGATATATGAGACGTTACGCCTGCGCGAGCTAGGAGCGAGCACCTGTATCTTGGTCTCACTATACTACTGTAAGATGAAACAAAGTATACTGAAAGTTTTGTATAACGTGAGCTGCCCGTAGGCAGAAATTTCACTCCAGTTCCCGTCGGATGTTTACTGTCTCGGTGGCCAAGGTATGATACTCTCGTCGTTGTCCATTCAATGCCGGGAGCCAGTGTCTGGTTGCCCCATTATCGCCGGCTGTGAATGAAGCGACCCAAGATATACTCTGCCCAAGCCCGCACTTTCGCGTCGCGCCACAAGATAACCAAAACGAGTTTGGACGTGAAAGGCGAAACCCAGTCACGTCTGTTTCTCCTGTAACGTTGCTCCGTAACCTTGCACGTAAAGAAACTAGATTCAAAAGAAAACGTAAAGCTGACCCTAAGCCACGGGTGGAAACCATACCGTCTCTGTGACCGTTATCTTCCAGCTGGCAAAAGTGTTTGAAGTTTTGAGTAGTTTTAGTCTCCTTTATGTAACTGAAAAATGCACAGGGGTGACAAAACATGCAGGTTGAACGAAAGCACAGCATCTCAACGATCCGGTGTCAACGTCCGCCTTAGCATTTCTGCATTTTGTTGTGTCTAGTTGCGTATAAGATTGTGTTTTAGTCTGAAACTTCTAGTTCCAAAGCCTTTCAGACACCCGGTGCCGCCTCCTATGATCACAACTCTTCTAGTTTATAATTAATTTAGGCTGTCTTTTTCTGGGGAGAGTTTTGGAATATCATTACTGTACACACTTCATTTTGTCAAGTGAGGACATCAGAGTGAAGTGTAAAATTTCGTTTGTATGATGTGCTGAGAATTTGCGTTTTTCCCTTCCTAATCGTTGACCCAAGAACCACGCAGTTTCATTGGGAAGGGGTCGATTCTGATGCACACCTACTTGCATCAGCTTGTTTATGATGTGAAGAAGAGAACGAAAAATACCCTA